GAAGTCCTCGACTGCTGACACTGTTGTTTTCCCGAGCATGTGTCTTGCATCCTGTTCCGGCATATTATCTGTGACATTCGTGATGTTGATTTTGGGTGTGTTGATTGCCTCTGCTTGAGCTGCCTTTCACGCAAATTTGCAAACCCATGCCTTAAGCATGGTGCTTCGGCTCCAGAAGTCATCGCGCGAAGGATGAATTCATTGCCCTTGTCTCACCTTGTTTCACCTTCTTCTACTGGCTGACACAGCCGGCTCGAGGTACGAACCTTGCCTTCGGTTCTGGCGGGGTTTTGTTTTGTTGTTTTGTTGTGGTTTTTCTGTTTTCGGTTTGCCGCGTGGTTCGTGTTCGCTTATCACTGGCCTAAGGTGACTTGTGCATCCTCTGCACACATAGCGCCTCGACCCGTGCAAAAAAAAAGGTTATGGAGGAGCACCAGGGAGATCTTTGGACTTGGCTGGAAGTGTAATACTTTGAGCCATTCGAGCCATTCACAGAGCGCTGGAGAGAAGGAAAGATTCTGAGAGTGTGGATTTTCTTCTGGAACCGCATTCAGAAGTATGAAGAAGTTTGAACTTCAGCAGTTTTTCATGTCCAGGAATTGTCTTGTGTGGCTTCAGCAGTGATTCGTGTTGAGTCTGACTTGCCAGGTTTTGAGTCAAGGGCATGTGCACCTGCGTTTCCTTTTCCTCTTTTGCTTTCTTTGGTGGATTGCGCGGGGGTTGGAATGGAGAAGCCAGGGATCGAGACGAGGTGGAAGATCTGAAAGATCAGAGTTGAGAACAGTTTGCATCCAGATGTCAAACAGTAGCGTGGAGGGTTTGTTAACTAAAGGGTTGGACGTCTAGCTTCCTTTCTGTGCAGTTCATTTGATGTCATGTCCACTTGATTGGATGCAGTCGCTTGTAACTAGCAGGGTTGTGTCTCAAGAAGTGCAGTGAGAACAGTAAGAAGGGTTTGGTAACTAGAGGGTTGACTCTAGATTCCTTTTGCTTGCTGTTGAGTTGAGCTTTTGTGTACTTTTGTCTTGGCAGGAACTTTCACAAGATTCGTTTTGTCGTTTTGACCTGTCAGGTATCCACTTGAAAGCTTCTGGGTTTCAAGATCCCGATGATGAAAAGAGCAAGAGCGAGGAGTCAACCCTGTGAGACTCGTAAAGCCTTGCCTTCTGAGGGATCTTGAGCTGTTGAGCTTGTTGTCTTGCGTGTTTGATCTTGGTTGATTGTGTTTTGGACTTGCTTGAAGCTTGTAAAGTGTGGGTAGCACGCCTGTACAGTGTGTGGATCGCCTAGTACCTCTCTGTAGTGGAACTTTTCGGTTTTCTGTCCTTGGGGTTGGAGGTGGAATGTGACCAAGAGTGGCTAGGAGCACTTCTTCGAGAAGTGTAGAGATCTGTAGAGCTTGGGTAGAGCTGTATAGTGGAGAATAGCTTGAGAGTGTTTTGATATGTTTTCTTGTTCTTTTAATATGTTTTGGATGACTGCGACCAGTCAGACCTCTTCAGAAGAAGAGATGAAGGACATTGGTACAGTCAAACCGACTGTGATGTTTGGCTCAAGGAGCGGGATCAAAAAGGGGACGCTTACGCTTCCGTGTTTTCACATTTTCGGCTTTTGGAGGTTTCTGAGCAAGACGACGGTATGTGCACGGATTTGTGCATCTTTCCGGCAGAAAACCCTGCAAAGTGCGATGGTTTTGGGCTGTCTACGCTTCAAAGTGGCCACAAAACACCGAAAGCCAGTCTTTCATGTGTTTTCAGCTCCTTCTTTCTTTAAGAGTGGCCTTAACCGTAACCACAGGTTTTTCCCGACTGCGTAGCGAAGGGTTCTCGTTTAACTCTTGGGGGTCTGGGGGTGGAGCCTTGTTCGTGATCCGTTGTTTCTACGTCCGCAACCGTCCGCAACCGTTCGCAACCGTCCGCAACCGTCCGCAAGCGCTAAGGCGCTGCCACTGGGGGAAGCTTTTGCAAGTGACTATTCATGGATGCGTCACGTGTCAGTTTGCGCCGCTATTCCATTGTGATTTGCACGAAAAAGACATGTCGCGCAAGCAACGTGATGCGTCTCGCTGCGCAGGCGCAGTGTTTGGTGAGATCTGCAGATTGCTGTGCAGTTCCATTGGGATTAGCGTTTGGAGAGTCGTGCTTTTGGGGTGTTGGATGTGGCCGTGCCATTGGGATTTGCGGTTCAGGGTGTGGCATCGAAGCTCTGTTTTCGTGACAAGTCTCAGTTGAAATTCCGATTTTGGTGGATGGGAGTGTGCTCAGAAGGGGTCGAAAGCATTCCAAACGTGTGGTGTGGTGCAAATTTTGTTGAAGCTCACATGAGATGACATTGTTACTTTTCGTGGCAGGCGCAGGACTTTGTGCGGGTTTTGACTCTTACGGGACACTCTTGTGGGACACTCTTGTGGGACACTCTTGTCGGACACTCTAGTAGGAAACTCTTGTGGGACACTCTTGTGGGACACTCCTGTAGGACACTCTTGTGGGACACTCTTGTGGGGCACTCTTGTGGGACACTGTTGTAGGAAGCTCTTGTGCGGGACACTCTTGTGGGACACTCTTAAGGGACACTCTTAAGGGACACTCTTGTGAGACACTCTTGCGGGACACTGTTGCGGGACACTCTTGTGGGACACTCCTGTGGGACACTCATTTGGGACACTCTTGTGGGACACTCTTGTGGGACACTCTTCTAACACACTCTTGTACGGCACTCTTGTGGGACACTCTTGTGGGACACTCTTGTTGCACACTCTTGTAGGACACTCTTGTGGGTCACTCTTATGGGACACTCTTGTCGGACACTCTTGTGGGACACTCTTG